ACTTAACGTGTGCTGATGTTTCACAAATGATGACACTTAACGCTTCCAACAGCCCTGCCAGGCAGACTCTGTCTCAGATGAGAAACCAGGGCAAAGAGAGGCTGGCCAAACTGCCACAGCCATCCGAGGCCTCAGCCCTGACCTTCAATCAGTTCCTTCTTGAGCTCTGGCCTAGGACATTGCACCGTGTCCTTAAAGGACAGCTCCTTCCTCCAGCTGTCTCTACGCTTCTCACAGTAGATCAGAATCCTTCACACATCACAGTATGCATTCACCCTGGAGATTCAGCGTCAGAATCTGCAGTTCAGTGCAAAAAACAAACAAACAAGAACATTTAAACAGCTGGAGAAAAATACATTACCAGTGTGAAGACTCAACTGGTCAGGCTGGGAATATCAGGCTTTACTGACGTTTTTTTCATTCAGAGGAGGGCAATGGTTGATGAGAGGGTCTCTGAGGCAGGTCAGTTCAGCCCATGTGGAGCTGGAGCTATGCAGAAAGCTGGCACCACTTTTCAGTGGTTCACGGGGGCACAGCCATCTGCACCTGGGAACTCCAGTCATGCTGAGGAAGCTCTCTGTGCAGGGATGGTTCCTGAAAAGCTGGCCCATATGTTTCCCTGGGCACTTCCCTGAGTTGAGGCTGCAGGTAGGATAGTAGCACGGCTGTGTTCTTTCCCTGACTGCTGAATTCCCTGACTGCTGTTCCCAGCCTAGGACAGCACAGGAAGGAAATTACAGCACAGTTTCCAAAATAACCAGGAACTCACTTGTGCCCTAATCTCCTCCCGACTCTACCACCAGGTGCCCTGTGGGAAAACTGAGCATGATGTAATTTATCAGAGATCACAAAACACCAGGAAAAGACAGGCGCTGCGGTGTGCAACCTGAGATATCAAGTATATTTTTAATGATTATTTTGGCGATATCTGAAACCTGCAAAACTCAAAGAAAGGAGGAGAAACTGTCATTGCTCTCTGCTGCTCTGGGAGGACTGGGACACCAGGACAAGGACCGTGCTCACGCCTCTTTCCCAAGCCCCCTGTCCCCGAGCTGCTGAGCTTGGGTGGCACCCCAGGAGCACTCTCGACATGGAGTGGTAGTGCCAGGTCCTCACTGCTCGCATCCTGAGGTCATGTGAGTTACCCCCTCACCCCCTACCCTTTGACCTGGGACCCTGTAACCCTGCTCACTGACCCCTGGCCCCGCAGAGCAGCAGTGGGGGAACTTCATGACTCTACCATCCTCACTACAGCTCTATTTATGTGTGTATTTGTTTTTCCAAGCTTGTGTTGGATATTTAGCACTCACATTCACAGCTGTGGATATGTTTCTTCAACTACAGTTCATCACCAATCACGGTTTCACTTGAAGTTACTGGGTTTAGACTCTCACGACACTGACACTTATTTGAACACAAGCATGGGCAGTGTGATAGAGAAGGTGGGGAGCTCAGCAATGAGACATGAGGAGAAGAGCTGTGTGCACACAGCAGTGAGCAGCACCCAGACTGATGGACAGATGAGCTCCTCCCTCAGCCTATCTCTCCAAGCTCACTGGAAACACTCCAGCTGCAGGCACGATTTGCTGCTTCTGAGGGCGTCCAGGCTCCTCCCAAAGCCTATGCCTTTGCTTGCTTCTCCCTCTGGAATGTTTCCACTCCTCAGTGTTTCCCCACTTACTTGGAAACCATTTCATTCTTTAAAACTCATCTAACAAATCAAGTCCTCCAAGAAAACTTCTCTGACACCTCTTCCAGGTCTGCACTGTAAGAATTGGAGCAGCTGGACCCTCTGCTCCTAATGCCTCGGGCCAGGGCCTCACGGTGTTCCCAGGCTTTCCTAAAAGTTCGCCTCTACATTCACTCCCTCAGTACACGGAGAGTCTGCCCCTTATCTTCGTGCCCACAGTACCTAGCCTTGCTCCCATGTTACAAGTGCTGAGGACATGGTCAGTGAAAGTGCTGAAATAGATGGAGCAAGGAAGGAATTGAATTCTGGTGGAAAGACCCCTCTTTTAGGAACGCAGTCTCAGCAGGAAGTGAAGACAGCACAGAAATCCAGTTCAAAGTGGCCCAGTGAAGACAGAAAGCATTTCATGTCCTCGTGAATCTGACTGCCTGATGAGAAGGGGAGATGCAACTGAGTCCTGGGTCTCAAAACTTCTCTCTGGGTGTTATAGTTTGTGTCTAGATGTCCCCCAAAGCCTCACACAGTCACGGGGAGGGCTTCTAGTGTTTATGATTGATCCATGGTCCAATGTTGGGATTATAGATGTGCGTGCTATACCAGCCCTGGGTCAGGCAGCCTGCACACAATAAAAGGGAGGGAAAGAGGCTTGCTCTCTGTCACTTCTCCCCATTTTGCTCTTGCCGTTTTTGCTGTTTTCTGCCACCATGAACTGCTGCCCTGTGCCTTGTGCCACTCTGCCTTGGAGCCAGCCTAGTATGGCCTAAAACCTCCACAAATGAACTGTGAGCTAAATAAACCTCTCCTTTTTTAATTTTGGGAGTCTGATATTTTGTCCTAGCAATGAGAGAAAAGTAACCAACACACTGGGGAGCTGTCTCTCCCTGAGTTTGCTGCTGTGCTCTGAGCTGGCTGCGTTTCAGGTAGGCTGTCCTAAGGCACTGGCAAAGCTTCAAGCTTCTGCTCTCCCAGCGATAACCCACAAAAAGCACAAGATTTTTGCTCAGTCATTTCCCGACAAAAACTACTCCAGGAATTTTTCTGACTTGGACAGGGTAGGTCACTGCCAGGCCTGAGCCTGCCAAAGTGATGGTGGTGGGGAGGGTTGGACCCAGACAGGAAGGGCCGTCCAGTCCTAACTGGGGCTTGCAGCTCACTCCTGGAGTTTTGAGGGGGATCGCCTTAGCTGAGCCACTCAGACTGGGAGGAAGGAGAGAGGCTAAGGAAAGGAAAACTGGAGTTCTGGTGTCTGAGGGAAAGCCAGGATTCTCTTATAAAAATACAAGGGAAGGGGCTCAAGCCAGCAGAAACGACAGACGTACTAGAGAGGGGACAGGGTGAACGGCATTGACACGCAAAGGCTGTAGACTAAAGGGATCCAATGCCACACTCAGCATCTTCATTCTTCTCCCCACAAGTACCAGTCACTTTTGGAACTCAAAGCAGTCATTGTCACAAAACACCTGGCCCGGACGCAGCGGGCTGCAGCAAGACTAGCCAGGGCTCAGGGTGCACAGCAGCTGTCATTGAAAAGGCAGGGAAGACAGTGATAACAACACTTGTTGCACACCCACCAACACACCAACCAGAAAAAGGGTTATCAGCCCACACTCGGCTGCTGCTCTTCTTTCCCATTCCTCACTGCATAACCTCGACATTCAGACATAGAAACCCATGGCTCAGATCACAACGAATAATGGGCTCGCAAAGACACTCAAATTAGGAAGAACTGGATTATTTGGCTACAACATCACTGCTTTTTAATGTTTCCAAGAAAGTAAAGGTGAGGCTGTGAGGAATCAAATTATGAGGACGGATATACTGTGAAGGAAAAACCTTTTAGTATTTCCTTTTGTAGCAATTATTACTTACTACACAAGTCTTAGGCATGAAGTTATACCTTATTCTACAAATAAGAGGCTGTCTGTAGAAATGCTTCACTTTTTGAAAACTACTATACATATTTAAAGCTTTATTTACTTTGGAGTATTTTCTCTTGGCAGTACTTTGGATTGGATCTGGAAGTCATTCAAGAAAATATCTCCCATTTTCTTAAGTTATAAGGATAGAGTTCTGGGCCACCTCCAACTAATGCTAAAGGCAAAATACTTCAGATACCCAAAAGGGGTCCACAGGAAACAGGGAAACTGATCCCAGCAAGTTGGAGCCAACTACAATGCACATTTCCACCTCCAGGAAGCGCTTAGGATGGAGAATTCATTTCTGAGTTGGGAGGAAGGGCATGTTGATTTAGAAAAATAGATAGGAAAAGTGAGATTTTATTACATTAAGGACATTATGTTCATGTCAGGAAGGAAAACTTTTGCTGTTGATGAAGCCTTTTGGGAAGTTTGCTATTTTTAAGATTCAGGAAAGGTGAAGTTGAACCATGAGATAACAAACATTAAAAACAAACAAGTCTCCTGAAGCTGTGAATCATTTACTTCACAGAAACATTTTGTTGTGCCGTCAGCCAGCTGCCTGAAACTCAAATTAGGAATTTTATTCCCTGGAAGACAAATTACTTAAATTAAAAATTATTCCCTGCAAGACAAATTACTTAAACTCCATAGCCTTCCATTTCCTTATGAATTGCAATGTGGGGGTGAGGGAGGTAACTTCCTGGGGCAGCTGAGAGGTTAAGATCCTGGGTAAATGGGAGGCAGCCCAGTAAACAATCTCTTGTTTATTTCTGCCCTTTATCATTTTCTGCAAGAAGCACTTGTAGCTCTACATGTGCAGAAAAATACAGTAATGTTTATAAATTTTAGAGAACAGGTATTATATTTCTGAGCCACTAATTTTTTTTCCAAGAAAACACCACATTTCCAACTAGGAATCCCAGAAAACCGATGATAACACTGTAGCATGCACTGTTTAGACATACAGAATGATCACGTTCATCGTAGGGAATTTGTACCTGTACATGATATAACTTGATTCTTTTTTCTTTTTCCCCATTCTCCTGTCCTACCTTCAACCCCCTTTTCTCCTCCCCATTTACAAAGCTTTGTTTCCGTTTTCTCCCTCTTAGGATGTCCTGGGAACCCAAGGACTTTCCTGCCCCAAGAGGACCACCGGGCCCCCCTGCCGCCCTCGCGCCAGGCTGTCCCGCGGGCTCTGGAGCCCCTGGAGCTTGGGAAGTTCCAGGGTTTCACACAGGAAGGAAACGGTGGAGGATTTCCCGCACTTTCTCCCTGATTAAGCACAGAAATGAACTTTTGACACCAGTCTTTCCCTGGCACAAACTGATCTGATTGCCCTGCCCAAACACCAGGACGGAGGCCAACACTCTGGTGTGAAATCCCTGACAGATGTGATTTAGCAGCGTTTATGAGGACAGAAGGGAAAACCCCAGCCCCAGACCAGTCGCCACCGCCTAAGGGCCCGACCCACCCGCGTGTCCCCGCCCCGCGCGCGTCTCCTTCCGGATGGGAGCGGGGAAACCCCTGCACGGCCGCCTCGCCGCGCATAAAAGGGGCGCAGCTGCTGGGGAGCCCCAGTCCAGCCCGGGAACCCCAGTCCAGCCATGGCCCGCGCCTTCCCCAGCGTCCTGCGCCCCGCTCCGCTGCTGCTGCTGCTGCTTATGGTGGACGCCGTCAGGAGAGCCGCAGGTGGGACTGGGACCCCGGGACGGGGCGAGGGACTCGGGACCCCGGGGCCCGGGATGGGGCCGCCCTCGCCCCTCTCCCCCGCCCCAGGACGGCGCACGGGGCCCTGCTCACCCTGTCTTCTCCCCAGGAGCGCCTGCGACCACCGAGCTGCGCTGCCGCTGTCTGCAGCCCGTGCGCGGTCTGCACCCCAAGAACATCCAGAGCGTCGCGGTGACGGCGCCGGGACCCCACTGCCACCAAACCGAAGTCGTGTAAGTCCCGGTCCCGCTGCCCGGCCCCACCTGGGGACCCCGCCTCCGGGAGCCTGACGCAGCCCAGGTGAGCCCGCTCACGGCCTCCCTTCCTCCCGCAGGGCCACGCTCAAGGACGGTCGCGAAGCCTGTCTAGACCCGGAGGCCCCCATGGTGCAGAGAGTCCTGCAGAGGATGCTGAGCAGGTGCGTGGGGCTCTGCAAACCGGGCTAGGGTCAGAGCTGCGCCCTGAAATCACAGCGGGGCGGGAGTGCAGCTGCGGGGACAAGGAGCGGGGTTAAACTTCCCATAACCGACCTCCCGACGCAGAGCATTCCTCTGCGTGCCCCAGGGCCTTTTGCCATGCACAGGCCACTTCCTACTAAAGAGTGGGGGTAAACGCGTGGTGCTGAGAGATTTAGGACTGGCTGGTGAGGTGGAAAGGCTGTCTCCTATTGACATCAGCGCCTCCCGGCTCAAGGCCTGAAAGGTGGACCCTCTTTTGTGTGCTGCGGGCTTTAAACCTTGGCGTGGACCCACAGAGACACTGTCCGAGGCCAGGCTGGGTTCACGGGGCTCTGCAGCGCACTCTGAGGAGTCTCCAGGCTGTGCGGAAACAACCGGAGCTGCACCTGGGTGGATTTGATCTGCCACGCTGGCCTGAGATGCAGCATAACCCTTTTCACCGGGGGCTGTTCGAAGCTAATCTACAGCGTGATTGCTGGTGCCCGCTGCCTGGCCAACAGCACCAGAAGCCCCGTGTTTTTTGCCTGGTGCAAGGGTAGGGATGAGCACATTCAGAAAACGCCAGAGCAGCACAGGCCCAGGGGAGAAGACGGCCCTGTAGGGAGATTTCTGAGCGCCTGCTAACCGCAGTGTTCTCTCTTCACAGAAGCAAAGCCACTTGACCCCAGAAGACCGGAAGCCGTGCTCCTGCTTCTGAGGGGCTTCTCAAAGCACTCAAAGGGAGAGAGAGACAAGATAACACCAGGCGTGCCAGGACTGTGCCCAGCATCTGTGACCATTTCTTATGAGAGTTTTTCTTCTATTTATTTATATATGTATTAATTTATTTTTCCATGCTTTTGCATATTTAATATTTAAAGATGGGGTGGTGTTCGATTTTCTGATATGTTATTGTATTGTTATTTTAAGGGGCATTTTTGATGTTACACTGAAGTTATTTTAGTACTGACTTCCTTAGTTTGAAGATGATGGATGTGAAGTATTTATTCAGTAAACTTGTGGAGCACCACACAAGCCAGGTAGAAGATGCAGAGAAATAATAAGTTCCGTGCTAACCGGGGCATGTGCGTGCACCGCTGTTTTTGTAACCGTGAAGATGAATGTGAATGTCAGCTGTTATTTATTACAATACTTTCCCAGTACGAAGTCGACATCTCTGATGTTGAAGCCTTGAGAACTACAATGTTCTAATTATCCCTTGGACATTTTATGTCTTCTTTGTAAGGCACAATGCCTTGTTTAGCCATAACTGTGCACTGTTTCTCCTTGTTTTGGAATAGAACTATATTTATTGGTATGTTTTTATAAATAACGTGACAATAAAGCTTCTACAAAAATATCTTGCTTAGATTTGCTTTATGTCTGGGTTCTTTCCAAGTATCCAAGGTATCAGGGAGTTATAATAGATTTTAGCTTATGTCACAGGCTGCCACAGCTGATTTTTCCCTTATCTTCTCTCAAGAAGGAATCTTTGTTCCTTTAAAAAAAACAAAGTCTAGAGGGGTAGGGGAGATAGCTCAGTGGCACAGCGCCTGCCTGAGTGCAAGGGCCTGAGTTCAATTCCCGGTACCAAAAAAGTAAATAAATAAAAGATTTTAAAAAGTCTGTGAAGGCCTCAACCTTACAAATCCATGTTTTATATGAAATATAATCTCTCTCTCTATATCTGACCTGCTATTTGATTCTACAGCTTCAAACACTTTGAAAGTTTAAGAAACATTTTGAAAAGCTCTCCCATTTATTTTTCTAAATATCTTTCCAAACAATTATTATTCTTTTCCCTATTAAGAAAGTTAAGTGATAAGTTGTAGTTAAGTGGATTCGTTCTCAGAACTCAATCTGTGCCATGGTGGAAAGAAAAGAAATCAGGAGAAATGGGTGAGCGAGTACCTGAGTGTGTAGTACTCGTTAAGAGGGTCTTCCGTTCCTAACACTCAAGGGGGGAACAGTCACTAAATTTAACACCATCCCAATGATCCCAGGTATAGGAAAAGCCTGCAAATTTGAATTTAGAGTGTCCCAAATGATAGGAGAATGAGTCTCCGGGACAGAAACAAAGGTTGCCACCTCCAGACCTGAGTCCTGTGGAAACCAGTCCCCAAGGCTGAGAGGGAGAGAGTGTGCACAGGAATCAGGGTCTGACTCGGGACCTGTCCTGCGCTCTCGGTTCTGGTGAACAGTCTGTAGCAGGCAGATACTGGCCCCAGGGGCCTGTGCAGGCTTTGCCCAAGCAGTGCTCTGAAAAGCGAGTACGACCCTCTCTTCATAAGGCCATGGCGTTCCCTCGGAATGAATGAGACTGACTGAAAAACAGCATTGAAACTGCACAGCAGTAAGGTCATGCAAAGGGATCTGGACTCCAATCCATATTTCAGACTGTCAGGGCTAACACTCCCCTGGATTGTCAGTGTTCCTGTTCAAAAGTCCTTTCCCCTTCACATACCAGAGACATCACATCTGTAGGCCTTCCTGTAGTTAACTGCTCCGGCCAGGAGGAAAATCAAAAGTCTCCACCCCCCCACACCCTATTCTCTAAGGGCCTGAAGCTGACATCTGGGACCAGGTCTCTTCCCCTAACTAAGCCGCAGGTGCTAGAGGAAACCAAAATGCCACCTCACTGGTTAAATGTGTCAAAAATGATAAGGCCCAGGGCTGGGGATTTAGCTCAGCGGCACAGCGCCTGCCTGGCAAGCTCAAGTTCATGAGTTTGATTCCCGATACCGGAGAAAAACAAAAACCAACAACAACAAAAAAATGCTGAGGCCCAAGAACTCAGAGGTAGCTCCAGATTGTAAAAGTGCAGACAGTCTGGCTCTAGGAGATTTTATTTATAATATATCAAATACTTGGTGCTGGGATTCAGGCTGCTATATTTCCATGGGTACCCTGTCAAGGGCCAGAGACACCTTCCTCCTCCCTTTTAAGCCGAGAAAACATGGTTTTTCTTACTTTTATTGTCACTGGCCAGTGGTGTGTCTTTACTGGAACAGGACAATGCATGTGACTCCTGCCCCCTCATCTCAGGTAAGGGCAGGAGAGCGGAGGTGGTCTGCTTGTCCGCTGTGATGTTTTAATAAGAAATCTAACCTGGCCCAGGATGTCTTCCCTCTGGGTAAAATTTTAAATCTAAATATAAAAACCAATACTCACCTTATTAACTTGGGGCATGGAAAGGAGGAAAACATGCGATTGGTTCCTCTGAGGATTAAGAATTTAGGCTAAGGGGAGCTGGATGCCTGAGGGTTGGATTCCAGGTCTAACACCTGGTAATGGGATCTGGAGATCAAGTTTCTTTGTTTTTCTCTTTCATAAAGAGGACACAGTAATGCTCTGCCTGTTCTACACTAGAATTGTGTGTTCTGATTTTTTTCACCAGACAGGATCCGAAGAGGTCTCCTAAAGAGGAAGTGGGGCCCTTAACTCACCCCCCCACCCATGGAGTAGGTAGTAGGTTGGCTGACCTACACTGCAGGAAAAGCGTTTCAGGATGCATCCGGTGAGAAGCACTGGCTGATTTATTGGACAGAGTTTTAATGATAGGAGAATGAGTCTCTGGAGGAGACAGAGTCTGGGCTCCCAAGAGAGAGCTACACTGTGGTCCAGGCAGTGGGTATGGATGTGGGTTTTACAGGTGTCCTCAAGATGGGAAATCTAGGGTGTACCTCCCTACTGCCTGTCAGGGACCCATGGGTGGGCTCGGTTAGGATGCAAACTATCTGCATGCACTTGAAGTTAGGCATATGGTGCCCAGTTAACAGTGCTCTCTCTTGGAGGACTGAGGTCCAGAATGTGCGAATCTGTGGGCCCTAGGGGAAGCACGCAGGTCTAATTCACAGGGAATCTTTGGGCTAAATTTATTGGACGGGAAGAAGCCACTGTAACCTTGAATGACTGTGATTGTGCCCTCAGGCTACAGTTTCTCTTAAAAGCTGAATTGTGAAGTTTGATTTTCCTTGTCTCCTTTCAATCTATCTTTAGTTCTTCTATTCTACCTCAACTTGAGTCAAGAGTTGAGCAGTGCCTGAGAGGGAATAGTGGCTTTGGAATTTCCAGCACATTTCTGGAGGCCCTTGGGTGAAGGCAGGGGGTGGATATTACTTTTCTGTTGCTGTCCTTGCAAATCACCACAGGCTTAGGGGTTTGGAACAACACAAGTGTGTTCTCACACAATTTCGATGTCCAGAAGACCAGACTCAAGTCCAGATGTCTGAAGGGCTGTGGAAACCCAGGGAGAATCTATTTCCTTGATACTTCCAGCATCCAAGGACCATCTCTGACCCTGTACCTCTAGGGCCAGCAGCACATCTCCCTCGAATCTCCCTTTCTGTCATTTTCCTCTGTCAGGCAGCTGCTGTCTGACTCAGACTCCTCTGAGGTCTCTCTGATAAGAACTTTGCCTTTATAACAGGCCCACCTGGATGATTTCGGGATAATCTTCCATCTCCAGATCCCTTATGCAGTAAGTTATGCGGAATCCCTTTTGTAATGTAATCTATTCATAGGTTCTGGGGATTTGGACAAGGACATCTTTATAGGCCATTGCCAGGCCTACTGCAGGGGCTTAAGAGCCAGTATTCAAAGCACTTTTCACAAGGCTAGAAATATGCACCTGCATATAGTAAGAGGGGAGTCTGAGGTTGTGGGAGAAAGCAAAGCAGTGTCAGCATTGACTCATGTCCAATCAATGTGGATATTATTAATGTTCCTAAGACACATAGACTTAGGTATTTTCTGCAGACTGGTACTATTTTCAAAGCAAATCCAATAGCAACAAAACCTATCATATAACTGGTAGAAAGACTTAGATGACTGGAAGAGGAAGATGAAGACGGGCTGGGTGGAATACTTGGAGAGATTCCCCAGAAAACATGTGTCCTCTGCATTCAAAGATCAGTCCCAGAGCAGTGTTACCCAGTGTGACCATGTGACTCAAGGAAGCCACGAGGAAGCTGCAATGGCAGCAGTGCCTGGGGTTTCCTGGGCAAAGACTCCAGAACTGAAGAGAAATGACAGATGTCTCCACTCTATGGTTATGATTACTCATGAGTGCTCCTGCGATATCTGCTAGAAAGGTCCAGAAAGTGGCAGGATGTGAAAGAAAGGAGAGGGGGAAGTTTCGCAATAGCAGAATGAGGCAGTGTTTTCTGTGCTGGAATGTAAAAATCACACAGCACATGTTTACCATAAGGCATACCCTGAGGCAAGTCCTGGCTACCAGCCCACCCTGGACTTCAACTTTCTGCACACAGAGAACCCGTGTGGGACATCTGCCTTAACAGTGACAGTTACGAGTGACTGAAGTCGAGCCCTTCCCTTCCACGGCCCTATGAAAAGATATGAAGTGACCTGGGGCATCAAGAACAGGTTAGATTAACCAGGACCATAAGGACAAGTTAGATTTTGTCCACTCTGTGGGTCACAAAACAGAGACAAGGCCACAGAATCACCTGATTCAGTATCCTTACAGAATTACCTAAAAGGAAAACAAGGAAGAGAACCAAGGTTTAGTCCAGAGATTTTACCAAAACTACAGCAATTCTCATGGCCTGTCAAAGAAGCTGGTCTTCCGGCACATAGCAGACACACAGTTTCTCTCTGTCCCTCAGTATTCTTCTCAGACCCATCATAACATCCACAGCAGTGTGGACTAAATGAAAAATTGGGATCATTGTAGCCAAACACACTTGGAACTCAAAGCTCACCGCTTTGTGTGTGCACTGCTGGGATCAAACTCCTGGCCCTCCCAGGCCGAACACATGCTCTAACATTCATTCTGCATCCCCAGCTCTCCCACTGTTATTGATCTTGCCAAATGACTTACCTTCTCTGAGTTTTGATTTTCTCATCTGCAGAATGAAAACAATCCTTGTTGGGTTGTTGTGAAGTTTCAAGAACACTCACTAGGTACTGGGGATTTAGCTCAGCAGCACACCGCCTGCCTGGCAAGCGCAAGGTCATGAGTTCGATTCCTGGCATCAGAAAAAAAAAAAAAGAACACACACCAAAAAACATATAAAGCAGCAGCACTCTTCATATGTCTGTTACCATCAGTGTAGTTTATGGTATCTGTCAGAACAAGCAACTATTTTTGAGGAGAAAGAAGACACAGTTAAAAGTAGAGGATTTAACGTGATTCACAAACTTGTATAACCCTCAGACAAGCTAGAAGAACATGGTAATGTATGAAATTATTTTGAAAAGCTGAGAATATAATATACTTAGACTTTTCAAAGTATAGAATTCACCACAAATTAAATCTATCATCAATGTGCATTAAATCTCAAACTAGAAACTCATTTTTGAAAGTGAAGATCCCAGAAAATCTCACCATGATCTCCTGGACAGTTC